GCCCTCGGGGAACATTAACCTTGTTGGCTTGATTGCAACCCCACTAACTGATCCAGGGAGGCCTCAGGTAGGACCCCAGAGCTGGATGAGGAGCAGCAGGGATCTCTCCCGGGCTGGAATTCCCTCATTCCCACTGCAAAGCACACCTGGGAGATGCTGCGAGTCCCCAGACAGCTGCACACCCGTGTGTGCCCATTTAGGAGCTCTGTCAACACAAGGACACCGAGAATGAAGAAAATTGGCTGAGTTTCACATGCCAGAAACAATGAGAAAAGGGAAATGCCACCTGAAAGGATGGGAGCTTGTTTGCCGAGAAGCCTCTGGGCTGAGGGTTTAAATAGACACAGAGCACGGGGGAAGCAGCTGAAAGGGGAAGCGCTTCATCCTAATTTGAGACAACAAAGAAGGGATGTGGAAGGGATGGAAAACACTCCTGCAGGCCCAGAGCAACGCGCCTTTCCCAAAGCAGTGACAGCCATGCCCCGCGCCGGGACTGGCACGCACGGCAGGGAGAGCACTCAAACCCTCCAGCAGGGCACACAGCCACGGCCCATTCCTCCCCCGGGGCTGGGGGCAGTCACAAGGCCGGGCGAGCCGAGCCCTTCCTGCTCAGACAGAGCAGCCACCAGCGGCGTGACCAGGGCCGGTGCCCGTGCCCCCCGTCCCTGGCACCCAGCACACGGGCTGCTCGTGCCAGCCCTGCTCACTTCTGCTTCACCCGCCCAGAACCAGCACCAGCAGCATCGGGGGGCACCCAGGCTGCTCCCTGCCCAAGCGCTGTGGGGGTTTTGGGCAATGAAACAGATTTGAGGGGAGGCCAAGGCCCAGCCCCATCTCTTACAAACACAGGCAGAGCCCCTGCGGCACAGAGTCACTGACAATTGTCACCGAGAGCTGTCACAGCGCCACGGCAGTGCCCCACGCAGCCAGGACGCGCTCTCTATCCCCTCCTGACCCGGGCAGAGCCACCTGCGGGCCCTTCCCGGCTGGCACAGGTGGGGAGGCAGCCCGGGCACCGCGGGCCCCGGCCCCGTTCCGGGAAGGAGCAGCCCAGGTGGGAGCGCTGAGCCACAGCTGCCCCGGCAGCTCCGGCCCCCGGGCCCGGCCTCGCCGAGCCAGGGAGCGAGCTGGGGGAGCTGAAGTGAAACCAGCCCAGCCCGGGCTCCAAAGCACCCCGGGAGCATCGCCCTGCCGAGGTGCACAGCCCGGGTCTGTCCTGCCGCGCTGCACGAGTGTGCTCTCTGTGACAGACTGACAAAACTATCGCTTGTTCTCTAGAAAAGGAAAGAGGCTTAGAAGTTTCTCTCAACTATTATATGAGAAGCTACCTTATAGGACTTCAGGGATTCACCTAAAACTTAAGGGCAGCTAATTGGATAGAAGCTGAAAAGTCCTGCTTGAACAATCAGGTAGAAAAAGAAGACAACAAAGGAATTAGGGGCTTTTGTGAGGTGTTTTTTACCAGGAGCAGACCTCTGCACCTGGCTCAGGTTTTTCTGTTTGTTATTTTGCCTTTTATTAAACCTTTTTGTTTCTAACACTGCAGCAGAAGTCATGCTGCTCATTTTATGCCCCCAAGAACAGCTTAGCTATCCTTGGGTATATTATATATTCTTTTGAGAGTTTATGAGACCTGGCTCTGAAAATAAAAATATAATACCACACCTCTGCCATCCCGGCCGGGCCTTCCCGCTGCGCCAGCCCATCAGCCGCTAGCTGAAGTTGCTTTATTTTTATTTCTTTTTCCAGTGGCAGAGCTTGAAATCAGAGATGAACACGGCTGAAGGAGCTCCTGCCTGGCTTCTCATGTATTCCAGATGCACATGCTCCAATCGCCGCTTGCCAAACAGGATACGAGGCGCAAGGAAATAAAGCATTTTATCTTCAAGCTTTTCCAAGAGGGTATTAGAAACAATGGGGAGGAAATACAAAATTAACACTAGAGAAGAGCAATTGGCAGTGCCCTTGCGAGGCTGTTCTTCATTACAAGGCTGCCTATTCAGCGGCTTTCATTAGGAAAATCACATCGCAGAGCCATTCCCAACAGTGTCCCTATTTCCTAATTAGGCTGCGCCAAAGAGCTGCATCTCCCAGCTCCCGGCGGCGCACAATCACAACAATTACCATTTCACTGCGCCCGGCCGCCGAAAACACCGCAATTAAAGCATCTGAGGAGTCACACGGGCGCGTCAGCAGCGAGACAAGTTCTCACGTCGTGCTAATTGGCGGCCAGAGGGATCAGAAGGACGGGACTGGGGCCGGGTCCCCGCGCTGGGAAAGGCGCTCGGGGGCTCCCCGGGCTCGGCGCCAGGGCAGCGCCGTGACAGCTCCTGCCCTCCCTCCGGACCCCCGGCAGCACCCTTGGGTCACACCCCGCCACCAAAGAGCCCTGACCCGGCCCAGGTGTGGCAGCCCTGGGGGTGCAGGTGTCACCTGGTGATGGCTTTGGATGGGTGGGACCCTGTCCTCACAGCGACATTAGAGACGGGACAAGGATGGGGAGCCCGGAGCCTCTGAGGGAAGCGGAGCAAAGGAGAGAGCAGGGACTGCACCCACAGCTCCCATTTCCTGCAGGCACTGACATTTCCAGCCCGAACCAGCAAAGCAATGCGGGCAGCACTGCGATGCCCAGGGAGCTGTGGGCACAGTTTCCATACAAACCTCGTCCTCCCTCCCCATCCTCTCACCTGGAAGTTCAAACCGCTGCTGGGAGCAGAGCTCAGGCACAAAAGGAGTTTCTCACTGCTCAAAAGCACCTGGGGCACTCACCTGAGTGACACCCTCGGGCACAACTTTCCACTCGCAGAATAAGAATGCAAATTTGGGCAGCCCCACTCAGCGGGCACCCAAGAAAGAGAAGTCAAAACTACTCCAGGGCGAGCAGCAGCATGGCAAGGTCCCCGTGCCGTGCTGGCTGTCCCTGGTCCCCAGCAGAGGCAGGGCACTGGTGCTGGCAGCCCCCAGCCCCGGGGCTGCTGCAGCACGGGCAGCTCGCCCTGCCACAGCAGCTCATCCTGCTGGAGCAGCCCTGCTCCTTGCTGCCAGCACTTCCCACTGCTCTCAGTTCTTCTTTCTCGGTGCAAAACCCACATCTTCATTTTCACACTCAGCAAGAAGGCGCTCGGGGCCACTCCTGGTTGGTTCCTGTGCCAGCTGGATGCCCTGAGGAGGGAGAAGCCAGCGGCACCATCCTACAGCCCCGAGGTGTGGGGCTGCCGTCACCCAGCCAAGGCAGCACTCCCCTTTCTCTGCCTGAAGAAGCACTCCAGGGTGTCTCACGCCCTTTCCCCTGCCCTGAGCAGGCTGCAGAGCTGTGGAGCAGGACGGGGGTGGCCTCACAGGGCCCGGCAAGGCTGAGCACTGGGCTCCCATCCCTGCTCCTGCTGCAGCTCACCTGGCTCTGCCCAGCTCCTTCCCTCGGAAAGCTGCAGAGCACCCCCCGTATCACCTGGGCCCTCTGGCCTCACACAGCCACCGTGACAGAGGGACAGAACCACTGCCACCACCACAGCCCGGCTCTGCCTCCTTATCTTGTCACTTTTCTATGTCTGAGCTCCAATCTGAGCAGCACCCGGAGCTCCAAACCACTCTGCAGCCAGGTTTTGGAAACACTTCACAACTCCGTCCGAGTTTGTGCTTTGAACAAGAGCAAAACACAAACACCAAACCAAGAGACCTTTCTGACAGCAGGAAAAGTAAAGCCCTGGCATCCTGCATAACCCCTGGAGCTTGCAGTGGACCGAGATTTAGAAAATTGACCTGAACAGTAAAACCAAACAAATTGCAGCTGCTCAGCACCAGGGCAAGCAGCAGGAGCAGCACCAGGCTGCAGCTGCCTGAGCAGTTTCGCTGCCCCGGGAGCAGCACGGCCCGAAACCAGCCCTGAGCAAAGCTCCGGGTGCTGGGGACAGCAGCCAGGTTGTCACAAACATGAAAACAAAGAGCTGAAAGCTCTTTTCTCCCGCTTTCGTTAGTGATTTGAATCAGCAGAGCCTTTTTCTCCCTCAGGGCTCACACCTCCACAGCAGCTCGCCATGCTCTGGCGGAGCCGGGCCGGGCACTGACTGGGTGGCACTGGTGCCACTGGGAGGCACAGGAGCACCTGATGGAAGATGCTCCTGGCAGGGACAAGGAGCAGCGCGGGCACAGCTCGGGGCTGGCGCCTGTCCAGCCCCGATGCGGGAGGGGTGACGCTGCCGAGCTTGTCACATCCCAAGCCACATCCTGTTGCCAAAGCTGAGCCTTCCCTGGGCTGCACCCCGGCCCCGGGGCTGCGGAGAGCCGGCTGAGGGAGCGACAGGCGACTGCTGGTGACCTTTGGGTCCCCTCGGGGAAGGGCTCCTGCTGCAGTGACCGGGCTGAGTCACTGCCGCCCTGCCAAAACCCCGGCCGGGGAGCGGAGAGCCCCCGGCATTTCCCGGGGACCCCGCGGCGGCACGGTGTCCCCTGGGGCGGGCAGGGCCCCACACCTGGCCCCGAGCAGCAGCTCCGCGGGGCCAGGCGGAGAAAAACAAACAGAGTCCCGAAATGAGTCACAACAGCCGGGCCGTCCCCACCCGCGGCGTGACACCGGCTCCTCCTGGCCGGCCACGGGCTGCAGGGGCACCCGAGGGAGACGCGGGGACCCCCCGAGGGTGCCAGAGAAACCCCACCCCGGGCAGTGACACCCCGCTGGTGGCTCTGAGAGGCAGCCCCCAGTCACACGCCAGCCCCGCACGGCCCCGCTTTCTGTCCCCCTCCTGTTACCCCGTTACAGCGAGCCCCAGCCACGGGCACTGCCCCCTCCGGCACGGCGGTGCCCAGCGCGCCGGGTCCCGACCGCGGGTTGCACGGACACCCGGGAACCGAGGGAGCCCTTCCTCCGTGTGCACGGGTGTACGGAGCCCCCGCCCCGGTCACCCCGGGCTCGGTGCGTGCCCGGTTCCCCCACCCCGGTCACAGGGACACCCCGGGCTCGGTTCGCGCCCGGTGCCCCCATCCCGGCCCCCCCGGTCTCCCACCTGCGGGGCGGCTGCCGCCGGGGCTCCGTGCCCATCCTCGGCCGGCCCCGCCGGGCTCTCGCCGGGCTCCGCTCCGCGCCGGGCGTCCCTCCCTCCAGCCATCCCTCCATCCATCCAGCCATCCCTCTCTCCCTGCCTTGCTGCCAGCGCCCTGCCGTTCATCCAGCCCGTCATCCATGGATCCCCTTGTCCATCCATCCATGGACCCATCTATGGTGCCACCATCACCACTTCCCCTTCCACCCTTCACTCTTCCATTCATCCACCCCTCCTTCTATCCCTTGCTTCTGCCACTCTGCCCCTCATCCCTCAGTGCATTCATCCACCATCCTGCTGTGCATCCATCTGCCCTTCTCTCCATCAATCTCTTCTTCTTTCCATCCATCCACCATCCATTATCCATCCATCATCCATCCATCATCCATCCATCATCCATCCATCCATCCATCCCCCCATCCACCTCTCCATTTCTCCCTCCCTCTCTCCATTCCTCCCTCCTGTGTGTGATGTTTCCTTCCCTCCCTGCACTGCCCCATGTCTCACCTCTGCAGGACAAGCCCTCAGTCCCTCCGTGCCAGTGCCAAGCCCAGGCTGGTGACACAGGCTGGGACGTGCTGCTCTGGTGGCACCTGGGAATGGCCTTTTCCTGTTGCCCCGCGGCTGCTCCTGAGCAAAGGCCGGTCCCCCCCGGTTCCTGCCCCACTGTCCTGTCCCCTGCCCCACTCCTGTCCCCACTCCTGCCCCCTGCACTCCGGGCTCAGGGCTGGGTCCCGCCTGGCCGGCACTGGGGCAGGAATCCGGGCGGGTTCCCCTGCGGATCTCAGTTTGTCGAAGAGAGTGACCGCTGCCACCGCCGCTCCGAGAGTCGAAACCTGCTCGGGGGCCAAAATAGCTGTGGGTTCGGCAGTGAAATTCCAGTGAATTTTAAAAAAAGCAGACCCAGTCAGAGCCGAAATCCCCTTTCATTGGTGGCCCACGGAGACGAACGCCCGCAGTGCAAAGCACGTGGGACAAGAGCCCCGGGTGCCCACGTCACCTGCGCCAGGTGAAACCCCGCAGAGGGACATGGGCTCGGCCTTCGCCAGCTGAGCAGCCACCAGCAGTTCAGAAGAAATCCTGAGGCAGCAAAAATAGCGGGACAAGGAAGGTCAGGTGGCGATGTCACGGTGCCACCTGCCCCGGGTGCTGACCTGGGGAACAGCCAAGTGCTCAGCAGAGCTTTGTGTCCCAGCTCCTCTTGGCCAGAGCTCTTCACTGGGTGCCACTCTGGGGTGCCAGTCTGGCCTTTCCCACCCCTTCTGCCCCATTCCCACCTCCTCATTTCCGACCCAGCTCCTCAGGCAGATCCCTGAGCTGGAGGCACCGGGAGGTGTCTGAAGGGCCAAAGCACAGAGGCCGAACTCCTCTGGCTGCTGGGGCCACAGCGTGTCCCCTCCTGTCCCTTCCCTCCCCACCTGGGGCACTGGGAGCTCCTTGTTTTGCTCCTGGGGGCCCGGGGCAGCTGAGGAAGTTACCAAACATGGGCTGGGGGGGCTCGCGGCGGCGGAAGGAAGCGGAGGAGGGCAGGGAGGGGCCGTGCCAGGGCTGCAGCGGTGACAAACAGTGCCCGGGGGCACCAGGCTGACACAGCCACTCGGGGAAAGGGCTCTGGAGCAGGGCCACCTCTGAAGGATGTTGACACCAGCGTGCTCCTGGGAGCTCCCTGGAGCACGGAGCTGTGTTCCTCCTCATTGCTGGCTGGTCTGAGTTCAGGGGAACCTGGGGGTGCTGGTGCCACACCAGGGTGACAGCAGGCAGAGGGAAGTGATCCCAGATGGCTTTTGGGGTCACACAGAGAGCAGGAATGGCATCCCCAGTGGCTCCCCCCCAGGAGGAGGGGTAGCACTGAGCGTGGCTGTGGTGACACCAGCAATGATGCCAAGCTCTTGGAGCTCCAGCCAGGGCGGGCCTTGGAGCTCCGGCAGCTCCGGCACATCCCAGCTCGGTTCCTGCCCCTGGAGCTGCCGACCAGCCCAGCAGGAGGAGGAAGCTGAGGCTGGGCTCTGATGAGCTCATTTCAACCTTCTGTGAACACCCCAGAGTCAAAGAATGGGTTGGGTTGGAAAGGACCTTAAAGCCGATCTTGTCCCAAACTGCTGGCAGGTGAAGGGACACCTTCAACTGAGCAAGGTGCTCCAAGTCCTGTCCAAGCTGGCCTTGGACACCGAAGTTCACCTTACACTGAAGTTCAGTTCATTACAGTCTCGTTGCCATTCCCTCTGCTCCACACCCAGACACACTCCCTGGAACTGCAACTCCAGCCCAGCCCCGCGCTGGGAATGGAGCATTTCAGCCCCCAGAATGCCATGAAGTCACCAGCTCTGCACTGAGGCCGAGCTCTGCAGGCTGCACCCCATCTCCCTGGGGTGCTGCTGGTGCCCAAGGGAGGGTTTCCAGCAGCTTTGGGATGGCTGACCTGTCCTTACACAGCCCCGGGGCTGCCGTGGGCTGCTGGGGCTGCACAGGCTGCAGGTGAGCCCGCTGCTTCCCTGTCCCTGAGTTCCCCCAGGATGGGGATCCACCCCGGCAGGGCAGCTCTCCGCCTCCCCCACCTCCTGTCCCTCGGAGGGAAGGGGAAGCAGCGTCACTGAAAAGGGAACCTTCTTGTCTCTGGTTTTCCCCACAAGTTGTGTTTTTCATTTCTCAGAGCACACTCAGAGGATCCTGACAGTCTCTTCTGCAGCCCTTGAGAAATGAAACTGGGGCAGAGCCCTCGCTGCGGGCAGATCTGACCCCAGACCTTCCCCTTCCACCTCCCAGGGAGGAGGAGACAACAGAACTTTACATGACCCAGTCTGCTGAGGTGTCAAAGGTTTTCTGGCCAGTTCTGGGCTGGGAGGGCTCCAGCGCTGTCCCATTTTCGGCAGCTGAGTCTGATCTGCCCCTATCTGGGCATTCCCAGCTCTTCGCTCAGCCCCGGCTCCTCCTTCGGGCGGCGTTCAGCCGAGGCTGGAGCCCTCTGAGCTCCCTGCCCTGCCAGCAGGGGATTCCTGCCCGATCCCTGTCCGGGACCGGGCGGAGCGAGGAGCCCCGGGAAGGCGCAGAGCGCTGGGAAGAGCCGGGCTGGGAGCGGCTCTCCCGCGGGCTGAGGTTTCCACCCTGTGTCCTGCCGGGGAACTGCACTGACGGAGCGGGTTCAGCATCCCCGGGGGCGCTCAGCCCGCCCTGTGCACCTAGCAGGAACCCCTGGAAAACTCTGGCCAGGAGCGCCCTGCCTCTGGCAGCCCCCCGGGACGATGGGAGTGCTGAAATTCCCTGGCTGCCGTGCTGGCTGTGGCTGTGGTGGTCCTCAGCCCTCTGTCTGGGCACCTCAGAGTCTCCAGAGCCAGCAGCACCTTCCCTTCCCAGAGCAGCACAGCTCCTGGGGAGCTCCTCAGCAATCCACCCTGCTCAAAGCTCGCTCTGGGCACTGCCAGCCCGGCTGTGCCCACATCACTCCAGCTCCTGATGGCCCTGAATAAACCTGGGCAAAAAAATAATAAATCTGGGCAAAAAGGAATAAATCTGAGCAAAAAGGAATAACTCTGAGCAAAAATGGCGCAGAGCGCTGGGAAGAGCCGGGCTGGGAGCGGCTCTCCCGCGGGCTGAGGTTTCCACCCTGTGTCCTGCCGGGGAACTGCACTGACGGAGCGGGTTCAGCATCCCCGGGGGCGCTCAGCCCGCCTTGTGCACCTAGCAGGAACCCCTGGAAAACTCTGGCCAGGAGCGCCCTACCTCTGGCAGCCCCCCGGGACGATGGGAGTGCTGAAACTCCCTGGGTGCCGTGCTGGCTGTGGCTGTGGTGGTCCTCAGCCCTCTGTCTGGGCACCTCAGAGTCTCCAGAGCCAGCAGCACCTTCCCTTCCCAGAGCAGCACAGCTCCTGGGGAGCTCCTCAGCAATCCACCCTGCTCAAAGCTCGCTCTGGGCACTGCCAGCCCGGCTGTGCCCACATCACTCCAACTCCTGATGGCCCTGAATAAACCTGGGCGAAAAAATAATAAATCTGGGCAAAAATTAATAAATCTGAGCAAAAAGGAATAAATCCGGGCAAAAAGGAATAAATCCGGGCAAAAATGAGTAAATCTGGGCAGTCCCTGGAGCTGGCTGCACTCTGGGCCCGTGCTGGGCTCCCCCGGGCCCGGGGACAGCTGGACACGTCCCCGGCAGTCGCACAGCCAGGGGTGGAGGTGGCCGCGTCCCTGGGCTGTGAGGCCAGAGCAGCTGCAGCATGTTCTCCTTGCCCAGGGCACAGCCCTGCACCCAGCACCGTGTCCCACCCCCTCACTGCCACTGCCCCTCCACTTCTGGGGCACATTGTATGAGGGCCGAGGTGTAAATCAGGTGTAAATCTGAAATCTGAGTAGAAACCAGAGTCCTTCACCCCTCAGGAGCTGGGCTCTGCCTTCAGGGGCTGGAATGTTTCAGCAAGGGACATCCCAGAGGAGCAAGGCACAGCCAAGATCCTCAGCGGGGACACCTGGGGCTGTTTGGCCTCTCGGGAGGTTTTGCTCCCAAGAGAGGCTGCAGCTGGAGAGGATCCCCAGAAAGAAGGACGGGGCTCCTCTCCCCTTCCAGCCCCTGGAGGGGTCCCACGAGCCATCCATCCCCATCCCGGGCTCGGCGCTGGACCCCAGCAGATGGCAGCAGGGCTCAGGGTGAGCTCCTGTGGATCGCTGCTCCCCGCGAATTTCCTTTTCCCCGACTTAAATGAGGGAGAGCAATCACCCCGTGCAAATCCGCTGCAGATGCGCCTTGGGGTCAGCCGGACCGGGAGAGGGACATTGGCCCTGCTCCTTACCCGGGTGACAAACCCGCGTCCTCTGCAGGCGCCCGGGTGCTGTGCCCACCTCAGCCGGGAGCAGAAAGCGGGGTTTGTGCACAGGGCTCATCTCGCCCTCGGGTAAGGGGGGAAAACGGGACAAAGATCTCAGCCAAGGCAAAGAGAAGAGGCTGGAAGCAGGACCGAGCCGGGCCGGGGCAGCCCCTCCTCAGTGCTCCTTTGGGGGCAGCAGGGCGGGCAGGACACGCGGAGGTGCCCAGGTGGGCACAGGTAGCTCTGAGCGAGA